CGTGTCTCCAGTGGCCCCGCCCCCCGTGACGTCACCGTCGGGGTTACTCTCGGTCGTTCCCTCCAGGACGCCTGGGTTCCTCCAACCCATCCAACCGGCATGGGCTGGCATGTAGGGGCTCTGCTCCGGCCCCGGGGCTGGCATCCACCAGCACCCACCTCCTCTGCGCTTTGGGGGTCCGTGGGATGGGGAAACTCCAACAGGACCCATTCCCGGAGGGGACTCACTTCCCAAAGGGACCCATTTCTCCAGGGGACCCACTTCCACTCACCCCAGTGGCACTGGGGGCTCACGTGCGCTGAGTTCAGCGATTCCATCGCTTTAGCAAAACACTGGGGATCCCAAAAAGTCTGGGAGCCCAGCCCTCGGCGAGCCCCCCCGCCTGCCTTGCCGCGTGGTCCACCGGCCCTGCAGGTCCGCGCCATCCGGCACAGCCGGCGGAGCACGCGGTGAGGCGGGCACAGGGCTGGCCAAACCCTCCGACACCTGCCCCACCGCATCATCCGTGGGGATCTCTCCTCCGGGATATGGGATGGAGGTGGCATCCCAGTGGCAATCGGGGCGGATCAAAGCAGGTCCAGGTGCCACCTGCTTCTCTCGGCAAGGTTTTGGCGTGGGCAGGGAAGCAGGCGCCGTGCCAGGGCTGAGTGCTGCTGTATGGGATGACGTTTTCCAACCGTGGAATTTTGCCACACTCCTTTGTATCATGGCCAGCTGGGCCACCTTGGACCCCATAGTTCCCCAAAGTTGGTTTGTTGTCAGTCCCTGGGTGGCCGTGGTTGTTCCTCATCCCCATGCCCACTGCAGGGTAATGTGTTCCCAGGGATGTGGGTGCCGTACGCCTGCTGGGACCTGCCAGGACCCACAGACATGTGGCTCTGCCCCACAGGCTCCCATGGTGGGGGGTAGAGGTGGCACTGGTGGGTGCCCATGTCATGCTGATGGTGTGTGTGGCAGCAGGTGCCACGGGATAGAAATACGTGGTCGGAGCCAGGAGGCTGGGACAGCCGTGCCCACCTCCGGGCTGGGCATCAGGAAATGGAGCCAGGAGGAACCACCCCCTCTCTGCAGCCCCAGACTTTGCTCTGGACCACGGGGGAGCTTTGGGCACCCCTTGAGCGGGGAGGTGGGGAGGGGTGAGGCTGGGAGACCCCCTGGAAGGATACCCACCTGTGAAGAGTGGGGTGCCGAGAGCTGGATGTTTTTTGGGGGGAAATAGAGCACCCGGTCGTTGCCGGGCGGCTCCTGGGCAATGAGTGAGGAGGGACCCATCGGGCTGGGGGTTACGGGGGGGCGAAGGGGTTAATGGAGTGTGACCCCGAGTAACCGCGGGCGGGTTGCGGCGGGTGCCCGGGAGTAACCCGGTGCCGGGCTCACCTTGGGCGCCGGGGGCTGTCCGGGGGCGGCCGGCGGGCGCGCAGGCGGCGATTGGCGGAGTCGCATCACCCCATCGCCGGCCGCGCTCCAGCCCTGGCGCGGGCAGCGCGGGGAGGGCGCCGGGAAGGAGGCGAGAACATGGCTTTAAAAAATCCCGGGGCCTGGTCGCCAGCCGGCGTGGGGCTGAGCGGGGGCCGCAGCCTCCTCCTGGGGACCCCCGTGCCCCTACCTGCATGGAGTGCACCTTCGAAGGTACCCCCGCCTCGCCAGCCGCCTCCTCCCCGCCCGGCGGGGTCACCACCGTGGCCCCTCTGGGGGTGCTGCACCCCACGGGGGGGTGTGTTCGGGGGCTGTATGGCTCGGTGGGGGCATCCCGGGGTTGTGTGCTGTGGGGGTGCCTTGGGGGTACCATGGTGGGGGCATCCTGGGAGCCTGTGTGCCCTGGGGGTTGCACCGAGGCGTTTTGGGGTGGGGGCATCCTGGGTCTGTGTGCCCACGAGGGGGTGCGCCGGGGGGTACCAGGGTGGGGGCATCCCTGAGTGCTTTGGTGGGAGCATCCCAGGACACCTCAGTGGGGGTTTCCATCGAGACCCCAGCGTGTGGACGTCAGGGCAAAGTGTGGGTGTCGGGGCGATGTGTGGCTGTCAGGGTGTGTCTGCGGAGACACCCTGGAGCACCCAGGTCCTGACGAACAGGACAGAACCCCCGGAGGCTGTTTGAACCCCGTGCTTGGCCGGCTGCCCTCCTGAGTGTTGTTGTGATCAATCATGCCTGGCAGGGGGGTCTGGCACATCCAGGGGGTGTCACCCCCTGTCGCAGCCCGAGCATCCCCTCCCCTTGATACAGGGGCTGATTTGGGGGTTGTAGGGATTCCCAATACAGGATAAATGAATGAACTGGCACAAGCACCGCTCAACCTCAGAGGCAGGCTGAGATCCACCCTGGCATGCCTAGACAGGACTGGAAAGCCCTGATTGCTGTTGGCCAGACTGCAGCACCCCCCTTGTGAGCGCCGTGCCTCAGTTTCCCCACTGGCAGGGTGGCTGAGAGGCTGCGAGGAGCAGGGCACAGTGGATTCCTGGCTCTCAGGGAATTTTGCACCTGGATTAGGGGGATCCAGCCCCGAAGTGCTGAGCTGTGGGGTGGGCAGTACGGGGCCAGCATAGGCTCCCCGTGGGAGGTGCAGGACAGTCTCTGACAGCACGGAGGTGTTTGTGTGTGTTTTGCAGACATGCTGCAGCTGATCAACACGCCGGACAATGACTTCTCGGGGCTGTTTGATTCGCCATTCGGTGCCCCCGACAGCGCCGTGCCCGCAGGGCTCCCCTCCACCCCGGGCACCCTCAACTCTTACC